GCAAAACGTCCAAACTGGCTGAGGAAAGTGTTTCGGTTTGCCTCATACTGACCACGGCCTGCATCATAAAATGATTCATACATTGCTTGAAAAACGGAAGGATGTAAGGTGATTGTTCAATTGTTAACTAACCTTTGGATCAATTTAGTGCTACAGACTTTGTTCTTCAGGAACACGATATCACGGCTATTTGTGATATTTTTGTTTATGCAATTATGGAAGACTGCCAAAATCGGACGAAACGCTTACCACTTAGCTACTTCAATCATGTTTTTCCTTGCTGTTTCCACTAATTGCTCCCATACATGGACAAGGATACAACAAACCCAGGTTCACTGAGCCACAATACCCACGCTCGAAACATTAGCAACATTTGTTTGCCAGCGCCTACTAGGGCCTCGCACAACGGTGGAGAGAGTCGAAAATCATGATTAGCATGGAAGATGACAGAGCTTTACCACAGTCGCCATATCGGCTTTTTTTATACACCGAGGAAATTACAATTTGCATGGAAATAGTAAGTTAATAAACCAATATGGCCTTTGACGTCACACTAACATGTTCTCAGAGTTCGAACTTTTGTCCATTTACCTTAAATAGTTTAAACTGACGCAAGCGAAAATGAGTTATTTTGTCTTCTACAAAGTTAATGTGCATTAAACGACACGTTCAATTTCTTTGTCGCGGTTACCTGATCTGTGATGTTGAGCGCTGTATCCAGAAATCTATGCCCCGCGGCAAAATATCTCGGCTTAGAAGATGAGTAGAAGAAATGAGATTGAGCACTTCTTGATGAGGGAATACGTTACCGTGCTTTCTCCATTCTCAAGTACTTTACGTTAAATTTTACCGCAGTATGAAAGATGAATCTCCTTTCTCTGGATTTAGAAAGTGTCATCTGTATAGGTTCGACCTTTCGCGTTTTCGTGATCTCACGGTATAACGAAACGCCGGCAATATTGGACCACGACAATTTTTGACACCGCGTCAAAAACTTGTCAATCTTTAAAAAGGAATGTCGGTTTGGCATGGCTTTCAGCCAATGAGGATCTCGATGTTGCTTATTCAAGCGTTTTGCCGACATAAAAACATCTTCTTCTGTCTCTACTGTTAGTTTTACCAACAGGACCTTACATTAAATGCCTGAGATTAAATCTTACAACTTATTTACTTCCTAGCAGGTCAGCACCTCATGCAAAGCCAAATATAGTTCATGTGCATTATTATAGATATCTTCAGTCTAAGATAACAAGCAGTTCTTCTTTTATTTTCATCCATCGATTATATCACGAAAGAAATGACGCGAGAAAATTTGACAACTTGACAGACCAAGGAGAAAATTGAAGGACTCTGGTAGTCTGCCTCGTTCTGAAGGGTCTCTTAACTTCCGCTCAATCTCTCCAAAGGACTGGTTGAAGAAATATTTTGTGAAGAGATCGTGGAAAGAAAGATAGTCAAGGAAATTTTATCAGAGTGAAAATATAGGCAGTTGCATGTACATTTCAACGCGACGTGCAACTCAGACAGAAAAGCCCATAAAGAACAACGTTGAAAATAATCAATGCTTCAAGTAGCAGGTTGGTCTGGATAAACGAAAAGTCTTCAAATAAACATATGATGTATTATGGTTTTATTTTGAGCAAGCTGATTGTCAACGTTTCAGAAGAGATATGTTCTGTGACCGATAAAGGCGGATATCAAGTAACGCCTGTTTTTGTTGATTTTACTTGCATCTCCAGCTGGTCAAAAGATAGTGTTGTTTCCTCGAACGCTCCAGGTTTGTTTCTAAGCATAACTTAGAGCGAAATAAAAATACATGAGTACCTTTCCTGAGTCTTTTTAGTTAGGATTTACATTATTTGGTCTGGTTGATGGCTCAAGATTATCAAGTTTGCGAGAACGAAAGTATTTGAGGTGAGATTTGATCACAGAGCGCACACAGCCTTCGACGTCACGTGATCAACTTAAGAAGGACTAAACACGAAATTCAGCGAATTCGACCTCTTTGGCTTTTATCATTTACTTAACTGAAATGAAAGATTCTAAACACAAAGAACTCTCACGTATTCAAATGAGCATGATCTTAAGGAGCATAACACTCCCCCAAACAATCATTCAATTTAATATTCTTTCAAAGTTATTGATAATCAGCGTACCTAAACCTTTTCATATATGTTGTTCAAATGCATTACGATTGGTCACAAAATTTATGTATGCGTCTAAAATAATCGAGGCATGATTTTGTGTGGACCGGCTTACTGTCTGCGTTGAAAAAGAGAAACAAATCACTTTCAGACCCGAATTTGTTGACTGGCAACGAAAATACCTTTTGAGTAACATTGGCTTTGCTAGCTTATTCAGTGCGTAATAAAACAAACTATAGAGTGACTGCAATCAGAACATGGCATCAGAGATAATATTTTTGCCATGTATTCGATGAAATAGAACGAAATATAAGCTTCATGACTTATTTATCTCAGTTTAAGGCGCCAATCAAACTGTTGCCTGGTTTTATGGCAAAAATATTTAGGACTAATATAAGGGATTTACGAAAAAAAAGCTTTTAACCTGAAGTTGTTTTGTTTTAACAACGCCATTTCCTCTCCCTCTCGTCAGCAAATATAATTCAGATAAATTAGTTACACATATTGACAGTGCTAGCAAACATGAATGGCTTTAGGAAAAATATTATTCCTTTTTGTGGGCTAAATATTAAGTTACTGACAAATACCGTTAAAAATAATGACTTTACCTTTCCGAAGACCCTTAACTGACAAAGGGTAAAGGCTTAGGCGCTAGCTACACATCGATTTGTCAGTTCAAAGGACAATTCTCCTGTCGTGAGACTTCTGCGATTTTTTCCGGCTGTTCGTATAGGTCAACCTATATGTGCGTTATTCACGCCAAGCATTTGCAATGTAGTACACTTGACGCGACTATCTATTAAATACGAGACCAAATTTGAATATTAAAGTGCTTTGGAGCATACTGGGCAAAGCCTAAATGTCTCGTTTTGCATGCGGTGACAAATCACACAAGCTTACGAATTGACAATTTGCGTCACCGTGGCAAAATTACACAATAGGTGAACAACAGATAAAGAGAAAAATTTCTAACTGATTCGCAGAGCTATAGAGATGACGTAAGCCTATTGTTAGCAATTCAAGAGCCTACAGATGTGTAAATATTGGCCAGTTTAAGAATATATACATATTTTTTCAAGTCCAGACATTTCAAACACAAAACAAATGATCGTCAGTTACAACAGGCTGAAGAAATGAAGAACAGAAAAAAAAAAGTTAGAAAGGGTTATTGTGCGATTCCACTAATTTTTTTTTAATTTTTCAGCGCAATCTTTTTTATAGCCTGAGCTATTAGCAACTGAGCGCAGTTTAAGAATTTCTTATTGGTAATTGAATATTTCCTTGATAGCACTCGGGTTAACGCAGGTGGAGTTTTCCATGTCAAAATCCAGCCTAATTGGCTACATACAAAAGACATTTTGACACGGTTTCACTTGTGTCGTGTATACAAAAAAGATTAGCGTATTCTGGTTCTCAACCAAGGAGCCAACTGGCTCCCACGACACTAATGCTTTAGATAAAAAGTTAACGCTTCATTTCAAAATCCTAATTCGTTTTTTTCAGTATTTATCAGTCACGAAACCTTTCAGTGATAACAGCTAGCTACCAAAATAGGCTAGTCAGTTAATTATAGGAAATGTTTTTTTCTTACTACTTTTTATTATAGATTTATATTTGGTGTCGAAACAGACTATGTTCCTAAAAGGGTTTTCAGAAGGAAAATAAAGCTCAGATATCCTTGCCAGTATAAATGGAGACTGCTATTGCACATCCACAATAGTACAGATCTTCTTCGCCCACCATCAGACAAACACGGAAGCTAAACAGTACGAGATCGACTTTGTTTCTCTTTGGCGATGTGAGATAATTTGATTATGTTGCTCAGACAAACTGATATCCCGATGTTGGTTTTCACTCTTATCAATCGCGTCTGGGTTTAAAATAATCTTGTGGTCTAACAAGACGTTATAAGTAGGCGAATCCCCCTGATCTCGGACGGGTTCCATACATATTAAATTAAAACAATTAGATTCTTAGTCTCCTAAACAAATTAAACTGTGGCCAGTAATCTGCTTTATCTTAAATAGGGCTTGCTGCGTTAGCCACGCGCACGAAAGATAAACTGCCCTATGTTTTTGGTATTTTTTTTTCCCTTTTAAACTGCGACGTCACTTCTAAAACGGAGAGAGTCTTGTTTAAAACAGTCTTGCGGTATAGCTAACATCATATGTAGGGGAAGTCCTGATCTTGGATGGGTTTCATTCATGTTAAATTAAGACAAAAAGATTTTTTAGTCACTTAGACAAATTAAACTTTAGATAATCTACTTTATCTCGGTGATTGCCTAAGCCACGCGCACGAAAGATAATGTGCCCTGTTTTGGGTTTTCTAATTTATTTTCCTTTCCTTGTTGGTGAAGCGTCAACCCCTGGCCAAAAGGACTCACAAGTGGACGCAGGTTGAAAATTTCGGTCAACTGTGAGTCCGTTTGGCCAGGCCTTGCGTGCACTTTCGTTAACTTGCGATGACTTGCGGTCACTTTGGTCGAGATCAGATTTGCGCCCAAGTCGACGCAAGGTTTTCACCGTTTGGCCTCCCAATCCAAGTCAACGCAAGTTGAGTGACGTTCTTTCGTTGTTATAGCAACGTTTTAGCCAATGAAATGCAGGATATATTTAAGCCCGTAGCCTTGAAATTGTGCGACTTGCGTGTATTTTGCGAGGAAACTTGCGAGTCCGTTTGGCCACCCAATGCAAGTCTTTACGCAAGTTCAACTTGCGGCTACTTGTGACTACTTGCCAGCCCCTTTCGCCGAGGCTGTATAATTATAACCGAGAAGGAAGTTCATACATAATTTAACAACTGTTTCGTACCCGCTCTTACTCCACATACAAATTTGCGCAAATATAAGAGAGCACTTCAGCTGTGACTCTATGCTCGGACCATGTCTACAGGGTGTCTACAGTCAGAACCATCAACTATTCCTGCCTCTTCATCAGCTGGGCGTTGTTGAATTTCTTCTAAAAGGCGGTAGCGAAACGCAACAGCGTAACATAGTTACAATTTTTATACACGCTCTGCACTCAAACCAAGGACTTTCTCAAAGAGGGAACCATAGTTTAGAGGCGACACCTTCCCTTTTTTTCCCGTGACCTCTTTCTGCTCTACTCCTAACGAAAACAGATCACGCCGATCGTTAGTAGGCTCTCGTCGTTCAGTAAAGAAGGCGCGGTAACTCAGCAATTTAGCCTTCCTCTTTCGTACAGAAACTCCAAAGTCGATAATTTTTTTAATTCATTCCTCACTTTTGTCTCTAAATTTAATTACTTGACAAGATGGTAAGTCGTTTGGCAGAGATTCTCGATCCTTATCAGCCAAGATGTGCCTTTTCTTTGCGGACGTAGTTGTTACTAAAGAAGCAGACTCTTAGCTTTGAAGTGTTTTTCTTTCGTAGTTTGGTTTCGATATGTTTGCTGCTATGCCAAGGACATTCAATACACAGTTTCGCTGTTATTCAGTTGTCATGTTCCCAGGAAACGAGAGAGAAGATGTGGAACGTGGTGGTAAAAGTAAGTTTCCGTAAAGAACTGAAAATACTCAAATATGGACTACCTACTTCATGTAAGCTGACATCACTATGAGGACATCTTCACACAGGAGAGGACTGTTTCTATAAAAAACGTCTGCTCATGATGATACCTTTGTTTTTGTTTTCTGATGTTTAATGAATCACTTGATTTGGCCATACTTTGTACAGCATGTAGCTATTTAAAAGCCACAAACACAAACCTACGATTTATGAACCACATTAACTTATCTGAGCAACAAATAACAAACTGACTGTATGCATGAATGAAAGCCGGAAATGACGTCATCAGTATCCTCACTAGTGAGGACACGCGGGTCCTGGATGTAGTTTGTTGTGAGTTTTATGAGTGGTGTATTTTCCAGTGAAACACTCATGTCTACATATTAAATAAATAATAGCACCAATTTGGTGCTGAAATGTACTTGGACATTTGTCTGCGGATATTACCTGTTCTGAAAAGTGAACAGTTTTCTGAGAGCATAGCTTGAGGAAAACTGTGAGCTTTAAGGAATTGAAAATGTCCAAGGACAAATATTTTCACCTCAAATGGAGGCAATTGTGTTAATTATCCTTCAAATATCTTTTGCAACATGCACGGTTTTGAAAATTGGGGAACATCACTCAGATTTAGCTGGGGAATATTCAGTCACATGACGTGTTTAGACCAATCGCATGCAAGCGAAAATATTAGATGGATATTTGTTATAAGTCATATCTACTGTAGTTTCTCCTTACATGGGTAATACATTGCAATGCCAACAGGTCACAATGACATTAAAAAAAATCGTCATTTAGGGGATCACGATAGGAACTATCTTTCAGAGCGTGCTGTATACATGTACGTTATTATTAAAACAGTTTGATCAGTTCGTCATCTGTTAGAATCATGCTCTAGTTTACTATTGAGCACTCTGAAAACAGATCTGCAAATCAACTCATTTCAATTATTATTAATTTAAGAGTATTTTTAATTTTATTCTTTTCCAGTTATAATGCCTCCTTCAGCCTTGGATCAATTAAGTAAGGGAATTACTTGTCTTGTCTGTATAGCTATGCCCTGCATGATATTTATGAATTATTAACCAAGCATGTGGTCAAGATGGCTGGACATAATTTTTGGCCAAGTTTTTTTTCACTTTCTCATAGACTGAGACGTAGTCAAGCTTGATAAAAATGCAAAAAAAGAATAGGGCCTGAATATCCAGCATCTTTACTGAACATGATTTGTTAATAAAGGATTTATTTTATGGCATAAAGAACGCAATAAGTGAGAAAAATAGCCCCATTCTGCCCGTTCAGGTAGCTGATCACAGTGCACTGACTGCAAGATTTACTTTATCTTGCCTGCTTGCAGAGCATGTGATGGGACATGCTGACAAGAAGTTCAGGTTCAGTTCTGGCAGGGGTTCTTTTGATGTGCTCCTCGGGCAAAACCTTTTTCACCTCCCTGTCTCCTCCTACATGTATCCCTTGGAGAATGAAACTTAAGTCCCTAAGATAAGAAAGTTGCATTCTTATAATGGGTATACGCTTCAAAGAAGATATGCATGGAGAAAAGAGAGTGCATTAAACATTGCAGTTTCTGTTCATTCTGGTCTTTTGACAGAAAACATAATCCTTGAAATGTCAGGTGTTATTCCACCACATTGAAAGTTTAGAGTAGTGCACTGCATAGCTTCATTTCACTGCTAAGTTTTATTTCATGTCCATACATTGAGGCTTCTTTATGCTAGTAATTCCAGATGAGAATCAAAATGGCTTTGGATTTCATGTCCTTAGCTAAAAAAAATGTTTGCTTCATTTCTACAGCAAGACTGCACATTGTGTATCCCATGTTGTTTAAACTCTCCAATTCAAGGTCGGGAAGAAACACTCATTGTGGAGTACTAGAGTTTGTAGCTGATGAGGGCAAGATTTACCTGCCTTACTGGGTGAGTGGTCACTCTATGGTATCTCATCAACCACATATACATGTTCCATTAAAAACTCAGCTTACACTTTCTCCTACTACACATGGATTATATAGTAAAACTTAAGAGTAGGAAAAGAAAGGGGAAGAAAGTCACTAATTCTTCTTTAATAGATGATGCGCAATCTTCTACTTGAGGAAGGTGGCCTGCTGCAAGTGGAGAGTGCTTCTTTACCAGTTGCGTCTTATGCCAAGTTTCAACCACAGTCTGTTGACTTTCTAGATATTACAAATCCAAAAGCAGTGTATCCTTTAACAGTTGCTAAACTTTGTGGTAAATTTACTATGAAATCTTAAGACTTTTATTCTAACTTGTCTTGTAATGATAAGGACAAATAGCGGAACAATGAAAGTATGTGTAAGATTGCGAGAGAGACATTTTCTGACTGATATTGAGCATCTTAGTTTCAGGCACGATTTTCAGGCTATTTATAACATCTCTAGACATGATGACTCCTCTAGCTAAGTTGAACATCAGTTATAACCCGGCAAAATTCTCTCTCAACTCTACAGTTAACTTTGTATATTACTATGCTATCACAGACAATCACACTCTACAAACTAGTTTAAGCCTTAGCTTAAATCAGCAACATTTTCTGTTCATCAGTGTTAAATTAATATATGTATAGTTTTCCTTAAAATATTTGCATACAGCCTGGAGAATGCACTTAGGTCATTTGCCTGTTTGACGAAAGGTGATATAATAGCCATCAAGTACAATGAAAGGGTGAGTGATTTCAGTCAAAGACAAATAAAGACAAATAAAGTGACCAGTATTGTTTATTTAGAGAATCAAATTCTATCAGCAACACTTTGTCATACTTTATTTCTTTGATTTATTTTGTTTGTCTGTAGATCTATGAACTGTCAGTGTTGGAAACAAAACCTGGAAATGCAGTGTCAATAATTGAGTGTGATATGCAGGTAATTAAAATTGAAAAGAGGAATTGATTTTAGCAATACCCTGCCTTCTAGCCAGGCCTTACATCAGCCAAAGGGTTCTTTGCACTGGAAAAACAGAGGGTTCAATCGGCTTATCAGCAAGATTTTAACAGAAGGGTCAACACAAGAGAGCTCTAGTTGTAACACTGCTCAACAATTTTCCACCAGGTTGAGTTTGCTCCTCCAGTTGGGTATGTTGAGCCAGAAAGACAAGAGAGAAGAGAAGACAAGAAGGAAGAAGAGGTACAGTGTTTACTAAGAATGAGAGTCACCTCTGAATAAGCTCTACAAATGATAGCACAATTTTAAAAAAAAAATGACGCTAGTGCCTGCCCTTGGATAAGGTGAGGCACTACTTGTGCCCTAGAGGGGCGTTTTGTTGAAGAGCAGCTAATGATCTGTGATCTAGATAGAGAATGGCATTGACATTTTCAACTGAGGTTCGATTGTTGCTATCTTTTTTGGATAGAGGTAAATTTGTTAATATGCATTGTTCAGAACAGTTTTTAATAGGCACAACCCCCAAAATAGTTATGTGTCAAACTTGAATATGCATGCATCAAAAATTCCACAAATTTAACACCCACTGAGTAAATAAGGCCAATCAATCAATCAATCAGTCAGTCAGTCAGTCAGTCAGTCAATCAATCAATCAATTAATTGCTCGCTCTCTCACTCGCTCGCTCTTTCAATCAAACAATGAATGCGACACATGTGAGCTGTTATGGTAGCTAAATAAACATATATATTATTATAATAGTTTGGTGTGTTTGGTTCCGTTTAGCACACAGATGAACCTCATGTGGATCATGGTTTCCAGGTAATCACCTTTGCCTTAGTGCAGGAAATATTAATGTTTAGTAACGTATTTTAACATAACGCGACTTAAGAAAAAGCAAAATCATTCAGTTAAATTGAAGTGGCTGATCATGAGAAGGTGTCATTTACTGCAGAAGGAATTAAATGCGAACTGCACAAAGAAACAGTTCGTTTATGGTAAATGACCAAACAGAGAATTTTAGATTCCCAATATGTTTATAGGGCAGCATTTAAAGTTCTGCGTCGGAGGAATAGAAATCAGTTTCGCGGAAAGTAGGCGCTCTTTATCAAAGAAGCTGAAAGGTTGAGTTGCGTCAAAATGATGGTTTCAGTTCTGCCTCAGTCTTTGTTTCTGTCGTTAATCTGTGTTCCTAGTTCTCTTCAAAGCCATTTTGTTCGTTGAATTTGGTTCAGTTCAAATCACACACCTTTGTTCATGTTTGAAGGCGTTCACTGGCTCAGGATTTCGCTTGGATGGCAAGAAAAAGAAGTCCAATGTGCCCTCTAACCCAGTCCCTATGGGACCTCCTGTTATCAAACGGTATGAATGGGCATGCTTTTAAGACTTAAGTATTAATTGTATTGTTGTGTAGAAATAAAAAGTCGATCCTCAGCTACCATTGGAAACCGATTGTCCCCCTCTCCCAAAGTGACTCCAAGTTGCCTATCCTCTAATCCCTAGACAGAGTTGACATTTAGATCGTTCTCCTTTGTACCAATTAACACGATGAAGCAGGCAAGGCAGCTCTAACGTGCTTCTCCTATTTTGTTTTTATTGTAGAGGAATTCCAAATTACGACTTTGAGAAAGGAAAGATCACTTTCAAAAGGAACTTGAACAAATCAAACAACTCACAGGTACAGGAAATTACGAGTAGCCCCTGAACACTGCACCTGTTGCATTAGCAAGCTGCGCTGTAGTTTCAACCCTGCTCTTCTCTCGCGCGTGTTACGCGTCGTTTGTTCGACAATTTTTTGTTAATTGTACAATGCTATGGCCGCTTACACTACTTACAATGCTACAGCTGCTTACAACACAAATACAATATGAACACTACTTACAAGCTACAGCTACTAATAATACAATATCAGCACTACTTAAAACACTACATATGAATGGTTTCGCACGTAGACCCGTTTTGACACAGAGGAAAAGGCAACTAGGAAATGGCCTATTAACAATATCGTAACATAACTTACAATACTAACTTAACATACAATATTTATATTTCAAAATGCAATCACAAAAGCAATATAAAAAATTACAAATAGTATTTGCCCAATGATGGTGAGAGAAATACTGCTCGCATTCCAAAGAAGTTGAAAAGTTATTCTTTCTTTATACTTTTTGCAATCATCATAATTTTTACCTCAAAGTTATCTTTAGTTGCTTTTGTAACGAAACGTTTAGTCCTTTGGTTGTCACAATTGCACCTTTAATAACCCGGTGTATCCTTTTCATTCCACAGTTGAACAACAAAGCAGAATCGACCAAGCCGGAATTTGAAGCTTTCAAAGGATCGGGCAAAACCCTACGACAGAAGAGGAAAAACTAGCGACAAAAAGACTATTGAAATAAAAACTTCAGAGGAATATGGCAAAAAAAGCAATATTTATGGAGCGACATATATCCGTTATTTTGTACTGTGACCTTTTCAAGAGAGAAAGACGGTCACGTTACATTCGAGCTACTCTCTGTGAAGTTCGACTTCCAAGTGATAAACTTGGTCGCATGACACGACAGCGATGGTCGACAGGAGAACTGCATAATTTTTTCTTCCAGTATACAGACGTCTCTAGTAAGGGAATGCCGTCATGGGGGCAAATCCTCTGTGAGCTTTCCATTAAAAAACCGAATTCAATTTTTACGTTGTCGTTCAAAAACGAAACTCTTGCTTAGTTTGATAACACAAAGATTCCAGTTTGTATATAATTACATCAAAACGAATATAAATCGTTTTCACGTTCTAATTGATGCAAGGTATTTTCATATTGAACTGTTCATTTTTGATCCAAACAAACCTAACCACGACTCCAACTTTGCAGATGAGACCAGAACGTTTAGGATTACCCATGAGGTAACAAGTGTATGATCCCTGAGCACAATCAGCTATATAGGCATGCATCGCGTGCATAGGCCATGCACCCATCGTATCCAAGTACAGTTCTCAGTGAGAGACGTAATACCCGATAGAGATCACGAATACAAGTGAGTTGTCTCTACCTGGGCATTTCGTGGGATTGCGGTTAGACTCTCTGCCACATGTTTACAAGCTGCCCGCACCCCCCCCCCCTCCCCCAACTTTGGATGGATATATAAAATGGAAAGATGCTTTCTACTTTGAAGTCAATGCACCTCTCTCGTGTCTTTGCAAATTCCTCTTGCTTAGATAAATAGAGTGCATTAACTAATTAACGTTCCTTATGAAGTTTGTAGTCTGCATAGTAAAATACATGGTGAGACTAAGATGGTTTTTTTTGGTTAAGTAAGGTTCAATTTCTGTCAATCGATAATTCACACAGCTCACCGCTTTCAAATTCCTTCCCCACTCAGGCAACAATTTTTTTTAGCAAGAAATCTACCAGGGTCAGGCTGCATAGATGTACACTGAATACAAATAAATCTGAAATACCCAGATACCACTAAAGCTGTCACCGTATTATGTAATAGTTACAATTTTAGCTCACGTACTCTTGCCAAGATGCCTTGTTCATCAAGTCTGCTTCGACCAGTTCCAGCTCATATTGTGCGTTTTCAGGACACAGACGTCTCAAAGGTACCACTTTCGTCTCATTTGCAAGACTCCTGACAGTTCCACGAACCCTGTATTCTCCGGCTTCAAGCAATTGCCGCACAACATGACTCGCGAGAAAACCCGAAGCACCTGTCACCAAAACGCGAGACATAATTAAACTTTCTTTCTTGTAAATGTCCTTATGAAATCGAAGACAAGGAGTGTTTGCTTTCGATTCTACGACACTGCTAGATAAAGTGATAATCGTCACTTCTCACTGTGCTGACAATTGTTCACAATAGGTCGCTTTGGCTGACCGAAGACTATAAATTTTGATCATTACATACACCTGCATGCAAATACAATCGATATCAGTGACGTCACGAGCACTGACTGTCCCCTATACATTTCCATGCGATCGTAGATGTAGATCGTTGAGCTCGAACGCGCAGCTAAATTAATACAGGAATTGCACCCTATTAAAGAGCTAACCACTCCCGAGTCAGCGCTAACTTAAGCTAACCGAAACGCTACTCAGGCTAACCGGCCTATCACGGACTACTGTTTAGGCTAACGAAAGTGATATTTAGGCTAACCGGAGAACACTTAAGTGTGGTGCAATTCCTGTATTTAGCTGCTTTGTGAGTTCGACGGACCGCCATCTTGGTCTCTTGATGCGAGCGAAACTGGGGAGAATACAAAATAACCGTGGGTAGGGGAAGGGTAGGGGTGGTGGTGGGCTGTTACGGCTGTTACCGCATTTTGTACTCTCCCCAGTATCGCTCGCATCAAGAGACCAAGATCAACATTACGGCA